ACATTTTGGAAAATTGGAGCCCAGATCAGTGCATTATATTGATCCATAGGTACCAGGGGCGAAACTTGGTACGGTCAATACCGCGTCCGCCCTCCCCCCCCCCCCCCCCCTGGATACTAAACACCATAATTATATTCTAATTTATCGTCTCACCATTGCAAACTCCTTGAGGTACTCCTCCAGTGTCGGGATGGCGTAGTCGCTTCCCTCCGCTTTCTCACAGTCGGTGAACATCTTGCGGTATCCCCACTTCTCGCGGATGACGGCAAAGTCGAGCTCGTGAGCGCTGAGTCCCGCCACAGACGGGTGAACGTACGGCGTGCACATTCCAAACGTGAACTGTCCGAGGCGACGAGCAACTGCAGAGACCAGGAGCCAGGCCACAATAAACAGAGTCGAGTTAAAATATATATAAATAATTTCTTGTAGTAGTTCAGCACTCTCATGTGGGGTAGTGTTTGCTGTTTGCATTACGCAGAGCTCACTGACTTGTCAGTTTGAGCACTGTGGTAAGGTACGTTCGGGCCTGATTTAAATCTGGCTTTGGGAATTTTATTTTCATTGCTATCAGGTTCGGCCTCATTTTCTCTGTGCTACGCTGAGGAGTTCACAAAGAACGAAATCGCATGCTGTCCGCAGATTGAGTAAATAGCTTCATGGTTTGTGCGAGACTCTGCTGAAAGTTCAACTTAGCACACCTGACGATTTTTATTCTATTTCTTATTTTATTTTTCATTCGCGTTTGGTATAACCAAGAGTACATAATCCCCCAGAGTGTGCAACACCCGATCCAGCTCTGCATAGGGTCTTGGTCGAGTGTAATCGGATCTTCTGATGTCATGCGTACACTCCACACCAGCGCAAGGCCGGTCTCGACGCAGGGCACCGTTGTATTTGATCCGAGCGTACCCGCGACTCCCCAGGTTCCCTTCAGACGTGTACCCAATTATGACGCAAACATCCGATTACGCTCGACCAAGACCCTATGCCGAGCTGGATAAGGCGTAGCACACACTTGGGGTTATGTACTCTTGGTTTAACCATTCACTGTACTGATATTATGTGATGATTGTGCGGGTAAAAGAGGCTTTCGTCAAAGAGTTATAGCAGAACCACTTTTAAGTTTACCCCTTCTTTCAACAGGTCTTACGTGCTTCGGCATTGTTCATGTTGCAGTCGTACCACACGAACGGCACGTTGTCACGTGACAGGCAGACCTTCATTATGAGACTGTTGGCGCCTTGCTGCAGCGCCTCACGAGCCCCGGTGATCGTGTTCTCACACAGCCCTCGGCTGCTGGGTCCACCGCCCATGCTTCCAATCTGCGCAAGACATAGGACATTCACAGAAAGCACAGTAGGAATTTTGTAGTAGAATAGCATAGTATTTGTTCATATTTCTCTAGGGCAGTCCCCACAGACCTGTGGTCTCCTTATGGGGTACCCTAGCCAATCTAGGGTTGCGAGACGAAATTGACTTGGTGAAGCAGCAATGTGGACGGATGCCGGAACCGGTTGTTACGAACGTTCTCTGAAGATCATAACGAGAAAACCGTTCTGAACTTTTTTCCTTTCACATGTACATTTCACTATATTATCCCGAAAGTGTTTGCTATTATTGTAGATATCTATCACCAATAAAAGACTGGCTAGCGCACAGTTTGTTCTCTTGGTTGCAACAATTATTGAAGTTGTTATCTCCGAAACTCTTGTTTAGAAATATTCGTCCTAATCAGTGGTTCTGGGCACGTGTGATACATACAAATTGACTGGATGTACAGTGTATGCAATCACTTTCCTGCCATTCCGTTGTGCACGTTAAGTCCGCTACAACCGTATAATACCGTGCTAACAGCTATGTGTAAAAGATCATTTTTATGCATTAGTTTTGTACGATCCCACAGTGGGACGAGGGATTCACTTTCCCGCAATTCGTTGTGCGCGGCAAGTCCCCTGCAGACATACATACTGTGATTCCAGCTGTTACGGTTAAAGGTCCTTGTTGCATGGAGTGTGTTTGGTGGCACGTTGGGACGAATGCCCTACTTTCCTGCTGCTTGGTTTGTTCCGTATTCCCCGGAACCAGGTTGCATCAGTACCGTAACTGTAATACCGACTGCGGATACTTTCCGAACCCACGTTCAACAATGGAGACAAACTTTACTGGTTCGAGTTCTCACTCTCAAAACACCAACTCCATCTTGGATTATCTTGGATGCACTAAGAATATCAGACATAAGACACTGCTAAACTGAGAAGTAACTTAGAATTGGATTCAACCACTGTTCACCATGAACTCTTTCCAAGACAAGGAGAATAAAAAAACAACAACAAAACCCAAAGCTGCTAGAGCACTGCACGCGGAAAAACTCTGCACGTGAGATGCCGTGCAGCGGGAAAAAGGCCATACATCTGAAGCATACGTCTCGTGCACAGGAGCACAAGCCCGGGAAAAACAGGGTTGATGATCACATGATTTCACGCATGAGTGATACCATACATGACCTACAGAACTAGAGAATGATTGTAGCGAAAACAGACACATAAATCATACATGAACGGTACCAGGCGTCACCACGACTCCGACATACCTCCCTCGCGAACGAATCATAGCCTAATCAATGTATGCGAGTGAGACAAACTAATATTCCGAGTGATGTTCTAACTCCTGGGGAACTGCTATTGGATGTCACACCTAACATCATTGTGTCAAATGCATGCCGTAATGTCACTAGACATATCCGGGAACGAGGATACGTCTTACCTAGCCGGTTGGATGTATTGTTCACTCTGATTGTGGATTGCTTGCTAACACTACAGTCACAGCCTTACTACCTCATCGCCACTGCCGTACCACCATCCACTATTCGCTCAGCTGGTGACATTGTCCACATTGACGTTGGCTGTGGCTGGGCAGTTCTCGGAGTCGAGCTCCACCTCACCCTCTGTTACCTCCAGTGGGATGAGGCGATGAACTGATCGTCGATACTCCTTGCCTTTGATCTTCACGTTGACTGCACGGACGACACCATCTTGCCCTGGGTATGTGGCTGTGACGCGTCCCAGAGGCCATGTCGCGCGCGGAGTACTCTCATCCATGACAAGGAAGACCTCACCCTCCTCGACGTCTTTTGCCTTCCTGTACCACTTGGACCGGACGTTTAGCGCCGGGACCATCTCGCGCAGCCACCTCTTCCAAACTTGCCTTGTCAGCACTTGTAGAAACAGCCAGCGCCGTCTGGGGTGGACCTTCTCCAGATCCTCTGTCTCCGCCTCGAGGTGTGTGACTGCAGCCGCGCGTCCCATCAGGAAGTGGTTTGGCGTCAACGCTTCTGGATCGTCGCTGTCAGATGATACGGTGGTAAGGGGACGGGAATTCAGCATTGCCTCGGCATGTACCAGCGCTGTTGAGAACTCCTCATCCGTGAGGCCAGCCTGGTGCAGCACATGCCAGAGTGCGCGTTTGACTGCCTTGACCATCGTTTCTACTACACCACCGAAGTGGGGCGTTCTCGGTGGGTTGAAATGCCACTGTACATCTCGCAGCTCGGAGTGGGTGGTTAGGCGGTCTTGATCTATCGTGCAGGTGGCTTCGCGCAGCTGTCGCTCTGCGGCGGTGAAGTTCGACCCGTTGTCTGTCACTATGAACTCCGGGGTTCCACGCCTCTTGCAGAATCGGGTCATCGCCATCAGGAACCCATCTGTGTCGAGCGAGTTGACGGGCTCCAGATGTACCGCTCTGGTCAGCAGGCACGAGAATACGCAGATATACCGCTTCTGCTGCACCTTGCCTCGTCCCTGGCGCGTCAGAAATGGACCGGCAAAGTCGATGGTCACCTTGCTGAAGGCGATAAGTGGTGACGAGGTCCGGTAATCCGGCAACCCTCCCATGATTGGAGTCAAAGCCTTCGCGTAGCCTCGTCGGCACTTGACGCACCTGTGGCGATGCTGTCGCACAACGGACTTCCCGTTTATCAGCCAGTACCGGTTGCTGAGGTTGGCCAGCAGGTGGTTGGGACCCATGGAGTGCTGACATCTCTCGTCTTCGTCATCCACGATCAGGGCTGTGACCCGATGTTTCGGTGGCAGGATGATGGGGTGTCTTGTCGTCAGCGGCAGATGGTGTGCAGTGGTGAGTCTCCCACCGACCGTCAGTACGGTTGTGCCATGTACCTCCTCCAGCTGGGGTCGCAGCTTCAGCAATGGCTCGTTGGGATCGGGTTCCTTGCCGGACTCCAGTCGCTTGATGACCTTGCCATACACCTCCTCCTGGGCCTTCCGTACCCAGAACACGTCGGCCGCCTGGACCTCTGCAGGGGAGAGAGCGGGTACTGTCATACCGTTCACTGACTTGGCAGATCCAAACTTGCGTCGTGGAGCGGGTGTTGGTCTGTTGGCGCCAGCCTCCCTCGGTATACGGACGTTACGTACAAAGCGCTGACACCAAGCGGTGATACGGATGAGCCGCGTCCAAGACGAGAAGTTGGAGGGGTCAAGCTGGTACTTCCCTGGAACCGCGCTGAACGACATAGCGGATCGCTTCTTCAGCTCTGCCGGCAGACTACTGGGAACCTCGATCGGCCGCGCCGGGAATGCACTCTCGGGTCCGCGTAGGAACTTCGGGCCATGCCACCAGTCGTCATCGGATGCGAGCTGGGCTGCAGATAGCCCCCGGGTGCCCTTGTCCGCAGGGTTGATTGATGTCGGAACGTGCCTCCACTGACGGGGGTCCGACAGTGCTTGGATCTTGCTGACCCTGTTGCCCACCTCGACTTTGAAACGGCGGCTGTGTGAGCGAAGCCAGTACAGGACATTGAGGCTATCACTCCAGTACGTGATGTCGGACGAGCTGATGCCGAGGGCTTGGGCGACTTGTTCGGCTACCTCGGCGCCGAGTACAGCTGCTCGTAGCTCAAGCATGGGGATCGACTGTCGGTGTAGCGGGGCTGGTTTAGCCTTGGCCATGGCCAGCGTGGACCGAGCCATGCCGTCTGGATAACTCGCCCGTACGTAGACTGCTGTTGCGACTGCTGCGTCGGATGCGTCAACGAACACATGGAGGCTGAGCTCTGCATCGGCCGGATCCCGGTCTGGGTCCTTGAATGACCTGGTGGCTCTCACGGCTTCTAGCTTGGGCAGTTCCTCGAAGAACTTCCTCCAACCCTTAGCCTCGGGCTCTGCGAACTCCTCATCCCATTCCAGCCCGCGGAGGCAGGCGTCCTGGAACATGACCTTTGCTCGGATGGTGTATGGTGACACTTGCCCTCGTGGGTCAAACAGAGAGGCCATCTTGCTCAGGACAGTGCGCTTGGTGTACTGCGTGATGACGGGCACCTGGTACTTGAACGTGAAATGGTCGCTCTCAGCATCCCAGGCGACTCCTAGCGTCTTCACGCAGGGTAGCGTGGGGTGTTGGTGGTCAGCTACCGAGATCAGCGTGTTCGGCGCCCGGTCGGCTTCTGGCACAGACTTCATGACCTCTGCACTGTTCGACATCCACTTCCGTAGATGGAAGCCTCCCTTGGCCAGTGTCTCCTGGACGTCAGTACGTAGGCCCACCGCCGCCTCTGGCGTTGGCGCAGACGCGAGTAGGTCGTCCACATAGAGGTTGTCCATGATGATGGTACGTGTGGGTGACCCTTCGGCGGCATAGGTGGCCGCGACAGCCTGGACGGCCTTTCCGGCGAGGTATGGCGACGCCTTACACCCGAAGCACACTCGCTGGAATTCGAACACCTTGGCTCTTCCGTCGACCTCCCACAGGAATCGGTGATACCTGCGGTCTCTCTCAGCCAGCTCCACTTGCAGGAACATCTCGCTGATGTCTGCCATCAGAGCCACAGGTTCCTTACAGAACTTGAGTAGGCAACTCACGATGTTGTTCTGTAGTGCTGGGCCGGCGTGCATCTCCTCGTTGATCGAGACGTCGTTCTTCTTGGCCGCCGCGTCAAACACTATCCGCACCTTGGTGGTGGTGCGGTCCTCCTTGATCACGGGAAAGTGGGGCAGGAACCACTGGTCATCCGCATCGTTGTGCACTTCCGTCTCGGGTACCTCGCGGATATACCCCTTCGTCAGGTACTGTTAGATGACACCGGCGTACGCTGCTGCGAGTTCAGGTCGTTTGTACAGGGACCGTTGGAGACTCGCCAGTCGTTGTTGGGCCATCGGTCTGTTCGAGGTCACGTGAGGCTTTCTGTCTTCAGCGACCCACGGGATGCCAATGGTGACACGGTTGTTGTTGAGGCTCATGGTGTCGTCAGTCACCTTCTCGGCTTCACGCTCAGCTCGAGACATGGTCTCTCCCGTGGCTGTAGAGCGGATGGTGTCTAAATTGAACATGCTACGCACCATGGCATTCAGCTCCAGGGTTGGCTCGGTGGGCTCTGCGGTCGCGGCATGTGTGGCGTGGTGGACGGTTGGTTCCGCCGATGTTCCGCTCCCCTCCAGGAGACCGAAACAAATCCATCCGAGTGGTGTCTTTCTTGCGATTGGACCATGGCCAGGCCCACGGCGTTCGGCTAGCGAGGCGTGCAACTGTGGAACGTCAAGGCCCAGTAGGATGTCCACAGTTGGGTTAGCTGGGGTATCCGGATTCATCCCGCGCAGGTGTGGCCAGCTTGCCTTCTGCGCATCCCAGTCCACACGTTGCATGTCGGCGGTTATCTGAGGGAGAACGACTGCCTGCACTGGGGTTGTTGCAGTTGAGTCTTTGTGACAGATCTCTATGGGGGCGATCCTGGACTCGTGCTGCAGACAGCTGCCACCGAGAACAGTCGTGCGCACGGACGTGGTCTCACCGGGTGGGACATTCAGCTTCTCAGCCATGTCGGTGGTGATGAAGCTGCAGGTGGACCCAGAATCCAGCATGATCGTTGCTTGTAGCTCGACGTCTCCACATCTCACTGTCCCCACAGTCGTCATCAGAGCTGGTAGGTTTGCTGGGGTTTCGGCATGCAGGGCGCTCGCTGCAGAAGCCATATTCGCGGTGTTGGTGCGAGCGGCGTTTTGTTGGCTACCGCTGCTAGGCCTGTCAGAGTCGTCCCTGTGGAGCAGCGTGTTGTGCTTGCCTTTGCACTTCCTGCAGTGGCTCGAGGTGCAATTTCTGGCGAAGTGGCCGTCCTGTAGACAGTTCACACACAGGCCCAAGAGGCGCACCAGCTCTGATCGCTTCTGGACGGGTAGCTGTTGGAACTCCTTGCACTGTGCCATTGCGTGCTCTTCCAGGCACTTCCTGCAGCTCCTCTTCTTCCTTGGGGAGTCAGAGGTGGCGTCGCGGGTAGTGCCCGCTGTTACTGCGGCCAGGGTCGTTGACCTTCTAGGCGGTGGGGTTGGCTGAACGGCGGCCGTCTTGGTGGAGGTTGGTGTCACCAAAGAGGCGGCTTCCGCTCGTTCGGCCAACCACTCAGACAAGACACCAAGGTCTAGTTCATCCGTACTAAGGCCCTTGGCCTTCACATACTCGCCCCACTGCATTCGATGGGGGAGCGACAGCTTGGCCACCAGCTCATCACGGAGCGCAGGGTTGTTCCTGTGGCCATGGCTCTTTAGCAGCTTCATAGTGAGGACGATGTTCCTCACAGATGTGGCCAAGGAGTGCAGGGCGTCCGTGTCCTCTGCTCTGGCTGGCTTCAGCGCCTTGGCCTGCTCGATTAGCTGTTTCACTACCAATTCCGGCCGGCCGAAACGACGCTCCAGTGTCCGGATGGCCTCGTCTACATTGTCTGGCACGGCCAGGAGCAGCTGTACTGCCTCCTGGGCTGGTCCCTTCAGGCAGGTCTGCAGGCGCTGGACGTTCTCTGCGTTTGAGTATGCGCATTGCTCCGTGCTGCTTCGGTACAGCGCGAGGAACGCGGGCCATTCCTCCGGCTTGCCAGAGAAGATTGGCAGCTTGCTGCTGGTGGATGACTGGCGTGCAGCCAGCTGTCTGATGCCAGCGTTACTATTCTCGACCTGGGAGGTCTGCCCTTGACGTAGGGCCTGGGTGATTGCACCTACAAACTCACTGGCCAGGTCTGCCATCTGACGCGCAGGATTGCTGTTAACTGTGCTGCCAGTAATAGTACCGGTAGTAGAGGTACAACCACTCATGTACGCGTCTTCGACCTCACTCGCATTACTTGCTGCGCCCCTACCACCGGTACACGTCTCCGTAGCTCTGGCACTAGAGTATCCACGTGGCCCTGACTCTGAGTCGGAGTCTGAGACTGTCATGTAGCCGCGTGCACGTGCACTCGTGTCGCGACGGTGCTTTCGTGGTGCGGGTACTGGCATGGATGCGTGTGGGTGACTGGGTGACGTAGTGCTCGGGATACCGCTATGCCTTGTGCTTGCGGTCGACTCGCAGCGCTCACGTCTCTCCTCGTGGACCTGTGCAGGCTGTGGTTGCACTACCGGTAAGCCTTGTACTTCTCTAACAGGCTCAGTGACACTACCAGACTTCGGCGCTCGTCGTTGTCTGGCACGGCTTTCTCGTAGGGCATACTCCGCTGCGAATAGCCGCTGCCTCAGCTCTGTCATCGATCGGGCCAGCTCATCGTTGCGTTCTCGTTCTGCCGCAAGATCCCTGGCTTGCTTGTCGCACGCTAGCTCGACCATTGCCCTACTCGCCTCAGCTTCCTCTAGGTTCGTCTGCAGTGCGTAAGCGTCTCGCTGGCGCCGCTTGTCGACGATCGCGGATTCATCGATCATCGTCTGAAGCTGTAGTAGTTGCTGCTGATACGCAACTTCCTTGGCCCGGAACTCACGTTCTACACTGCGTAGACTACTGCCAGTACTGGATCTCGGCAGTTGCTGACGCTCTACGAATGTCCTATCCCAGGGCTCGGGCCCTATTCCCCGCTGAATGGACTCGCTTAGATAGTCAGCGTAAGTGGCATCGGCTACAACAGCAGTGGTGTGTTCAATCGTTCTTTGAAGTACCTGTGTCTGTGCCTGTGCCTGCGGTTCTGGTTGATGAAACGGAGGTTCATTCAGGTGTTCATGAATCGGATCTTGGACTACGCATGGCGGTGCCTGGTAGTGGTAGCTGTGTGCCGGAGTGAATGCACGGACATGCTGGACATCTGAGTCCCTCTCTACATGTGCGTCTATCACTACGTCTACCGGTGGTGGTGTGCTAGCCTGACAGGCCTCTGCATGGTGTAGACCTACTGCTGATTCTGACGTTACTTGCGTAGATCTATGGGAAGCCTCTCCTTCTGATGGCTGAGATTCTACACCGACTACCGTGTGTGATTCTGTTGGTGTTGGAACAGCAACTGAACTAGGTGCAACTACATCATCGTCAAAGTCGATAAGCGACGTATCTTGGGCTGCAACCGCCTCATGCAACTCACCCGCTTCCTGGAAGACTTCTTCTCGCATCGCAGGAGAGCTGGAGGTCTCAACGGACCTTTCCCTCAACGTCCCTTCGGCTTCCGACATCGCCTGCTCCGTCAACCGGGCGATTTCCAGCCGCTTTTCCGCCACAGCCTGTTCTGCTTGTAACACGGCTATCCTGGCGCTGAGCCTGTCTGCTGAATTCGCGGTGACGGCTTGGCTCCTACTTTCGGTCATCCTGTCATCTCCACCACTAGCACCGGCGTAGGACTGGGTGTCTGTGTACCCGAGTTTTGGCGCTGCGACGCCTTTCGTCGTGCGCTGACTCCGCCTGAGCTTCTCCATCGTGGACGTGATCCGGCTCGAAGGACCACTATGTTCCGTATTCCCCGGAACCAGGTTGCATCAGTACCGTAACTGTAATACCGACTGCGGATACTTTCCGAACCCACGTTCAACAATGGAGACAAACTTTACTGGTTCGAGTTCTCACTCTCAAAACACCAACTCCATCTTGGATTATCTTGGATGCACTAAGAATATCAGACATAAGACACTGCTAAACTGAGAAGTAACTTAGAATTGGATTCAACCACTGTTCACCATGAACTCTTTCCAAGACAAGGAGAATAAAAAAACAACAACAAAACCCAAAGCTGCTAGAGCACTGCACGCGGAAAAACTCTGCACGTGAGATGCCGTGCAGCGGGAAAAAGGCCATACATCTGAAGCATACGTCTCGTGCACAGGAGCACAAGCCCGGGAAAAACAGGGTTGATGATCACATGATTTCACGCATGAGTGATACCATACATGACCTACAGAACTAGAGAATGATTGTAGCGAAAACAGACACATAAATCATACATGAACGGTACCAGGCGTCACCACGACTCCGACATGGTTTTTGCAGGGAAGATATGTAACCGTACACACTACCTTTACATACAAGATCGTGAACAGTGGAATGTTATTAAATATTTTGTGTATTTGTGTACAGTCGTCCCTCTCTAATCCGGCACTTTATCCAGCACCCTCGATAAACCAGCACAATTTTCAGTAGCCAAAATGTCCTCTTCATGCACATTGCAGCAGTAAATCAGATTTGTTAATCCAGCACCCTCCCTAATCCAGCAGATTTTCGTGGCGCAAATGGTGCCGGATTTTAGAGGGACCACTGTATTTTAGTTCGTTTCCTCGACAGTGCAGTATGTACAGCATACATGTAGTAGAGCTAGCTGGCTTGTGGGTTTCACGCATGTTCCCAGGTATATTCGTAAGTAAGAGGAGTTAAAACTCGTCGAATGGGGCGAATTGCCTGCCGAAAACCTTTGTATGGTCACGTTGCCAATCTCAATGCTTTTCGAGTAGAATCTGCCCCTTTTCCAGCAGCTGATCATCCGCCAAGTAATTCTAATCTGGTGTCCTAAGCCGGTAAACTCCCTGTTATGAACGGCCTGCCCCCGTTTCTCGCCTCCTACTCGGCCTGCTTACCCGGAATTTACAGTCCCGCCGTTCCGTGCACTCCGCTTCGCCGCACTCCAGCGCGCTGAAGTCCAGCGTGTCCATTCCGCCAGCCAGCGTGCCTGCATCGCACTGAGGTGGCCCGTCCGTAGGCGGCTGGGTCTCCGGCTGGAGGTTGGGTGCCGACAGCGGATCCTCATTGTTCGCCTGCGAGTGCACTGCGCTGATCCAGAGGACAGCGGTCAAGCAGAGGCCAAGCAACAAACGAGACATTTTGAACGTTTCCCTCAATTTGATCAAGCGCCCAGAGCAGCAACAATAAAATCACTCCACCTCAAGTTCCGAGTTTGTGTGAGTGTCAGAATCAGATGCAGCGTATTTACGTGGTTTGATTCCTAAGTTACGTCCAGCGGCAACGCAAGGCTCGTCAATTCGCACACGGAGCCACTGCATCGCGTATTACTCGCCCGCATGGCGAATGGATTGCTTTCCGTGTCGAACACCTGCCTGCCTCCGAATCCGATCAGCTTTTCCCTAGCCATCCAAACACTACTTTGCCTGTCATCGGATCAGCGGACAGCAATGCTAAGTTGACAATCCAATTTTGACCTGACGGCAAACGTGCGCCCGAGGCACGAAGACTTGCTAAAAGAAAACTGTCCAACTGTGTGCGTATACGCGTCATATCACTGTCGTCAGCATCATTTTTTAGGGAAGAAATGCATCTGGCGATTTGTTCGAGATCGAGAGATTATCGCCCTGCCGTGACTTGCAATGCACCTGGCAACGGGGCTGCACTAATGAGACAAGGGCGGTTGCGTTGTCCTCATCTGCACACGGATGAATCTGTCTGTCGATGAGACTGTGATTTTGAGGGGAAACATACTGTCTTGACAGACGGATCGAGTCATGCTAGGAGGTGCTACGGGCAGTTAGTCATGTCTTTTACTTGTCACTACTGGCTCAGGTCAAGATCACACCCGCTGCTGTGTTAGTAAACGCAGTCTGCTGTTTTGTCCGAAGCGTTCGGTGCGAGAATGAGCACTGAATGTAAACATGACTGTTTTGTTTGCCGAGAGGTGCGTTGCGGCTTGTCGACATTTTCAATGGAATCCATTGCTTGCAAATTCCTAGAAGTTACTTCCAAGTAAGTTGCACAGATGGCACTGAGCGAGCGAGTCAGTGCACCGTCCGCATGATTACTGGCATTCTACCTAGTCTAAACATCATTAGCTAGGTCTTGCGGCGTAATGGACAAAATGAATTTGACAGGCAGTATTGCGCCTGGCCAGAGGACGTTTAAATGCAACGCAGATCGTTCACGCTGACTAAACTGGATGCGGATCCATGGACCGTCGCGTTCCAACAAAGCGTCACAGACTACCGACTCTAGATTATGATCTTAGCAATGCTTCTCAAGAACTAATACTTGTACGAGTAGGGTGCCAACTATCTAAAAACACTAGTCATTTTAAAAGGGAACACACCGGGTTATAACTCATTGGTACATGGTGTCAACCGTTCACAAGTACAGACGGTGGGTGCTGATCAATGAAATCCAGTCGCTAGAGTCAGGTTTAGTTAGCGCAGTGTACCTTTTCACAGACCAGTGTTCGCAGGTCTAGGGCTGCGCAACGCCTGGCGCGTGCTCGAGAAACGTGACTGGATTTCATGGAGCAGTAATTGAATCGTGGCTGTCCGTTCAAGCAAGTATTGTATTGACTATTGTATTGAATTTGGACTCCATTTTTAAAAAACAAGCATTATGGATTGTCCACAGGTCTGTGACCGGGTGACCCCAGTACGGTTAGGGTGTTCGGACGATTTTGAAAGTTGCTCCGATCTCCTCGAATTTAGGCTCATTGGAAAGAGTAGGATAAACTAGCCAGGAAATTATAATAAGGTTTGTCTAAATCCGACCAGACGTTCAAGAGTTATGGTCGTTTGAAGTGCGCTTGCTGGCACATTTGCTGGAGCAGTTTTGATGCAGGGCTTGCAGGCCAGTGGCACAAAACCGGGAAATTCAAAACCAACTAGAAAAAGGAGAAAATCAATTTCGTTCAAGGGGGCAGTAGGTAGTGTGATGAATTTCCTTGTAAAAAAAACCGGTAAAGCTAGCCGCGGCTGCATTACTTGACATTTTGAGGAACACATTCGTTGTAGCCGCACAAAATCCACTGGTTTCTTCGCCAAAATATACCATTTCATCAAAGAAATTGTCATTGATACGGTATGGTGTTCTTGTTGTACTTAGCGGACAGGCAGTGATACTATCGGTATTCAGGTAACTGCAGCTATTCTAAGCTCGTTTTCACGCAGACCCCCAGAAATGCCAGAATCCCCGCTGCATTGTCATGTCTCCTTTGGTTCTGTCTTCCCAGTCCGTTCTCTGCTGGACTGTGCGCTTCAGTATAAAAAAAATGAAAAAATGACAATCATTGTCTCCTCTCTACCATTCGTAGAAAGAACGAGTACTATAGCAATCAACAAGTGTTCAATAGGCCTGGATATGCATTGCTCCAGGACAAATGGGCACCGGACGCGCTGTGCAAGCAAGTCTCTCAGCGCAGGCGACAACACAGACATGTATAAAGGTGTACCGGTATGTGTTATGAACTAGTTATGTCCCATTGGATGTATGGACGGTGGAGAGCATCACTACCTGACACGTATCCACTGACTCAAGATTGTGATTGGACATTAATGAACTTACTTTATCAATATGATACCGATACCGTTTTCGGATCCAAACGTACTTCTGTGAACCCTGGAAGTCTTATTCACGTGTGTCCGAACTCCGAACAGGTCTGCATGACTCCAGGTCATGTAACATTGTTTACGACCTGAGCTGTGTGTGGGTGTGGGTGTGGGTAAGTGTGTACTATCATAAGCCTACACGCATTAAATACATATGCTGTCGACAAGTACGCTGTCGACAAGTACGCTGTCGACAAGTAGATATTTCTGGTCAACACGTGCAAGCTGTGCGGCCACCTTATCCAGAACATGTACCCGACATGATACGCAGCGCCCGTCAAAGTGACTCTTTTTTTTATAGACGTTTAGCTGAAATGATCAAAGTTACGGAAGGGATCAGTTCAAACTGAAATGTCCAATCCGGGCGTCGAAGCGTCTGGCCAGGGCAACAAGCGTTTAGTGTTCTGTGCTATTCACACGCTTAGGAGATATTGGCATCTAGTGTCAAATTACTACAAAGATAGCGTACTGTCATCTACCTAATAATGTGTGTGCACGCGCGTAGCAATAGCGTCCGGTCAATCTTGCGTCTGTCAGTGTCACGTCACGTCGTTGCATGCCCCCACATACATGCGCATGTACATGATGTGCATAACTTCAGCAGCTCTAGCGCTATCACACACAACGCACACAGATATTGTGCGTTTAGCAGGCACAGTTGGGAAGGATCTTCAGAGCCTATGTAGTCACGATTTTGGCTCTCTGATCTGCGTAGCGCTTCGTTGTGTCAGATCTTCGCGCGTGGTGTCAGGTCTTCGTTGTATCAGCGCTTCTTCGACCTGAAGATACCCCTCCCCCGATCCCGTTACTATCAGCACACTCTGCAATGGTACGGTCAGGATTTCAGTTTTTGATGCCTTCCCTCCATTGTGAGTGTCGACCAAAAACTAGCTTCCGCTGTTGTCATTAGTCGCATACCGCCAGTACGGATGATTTCCTCCTGGTCATATACCTGATATACGCATGCCTTCCGGTCCTTCACTTCCTCCCTTGCTCAAGTAACAGTTACATTTAGTGCATTGTTTGTAGAACTAATACTAGCTATAAGCCGTACAGGAAAGGGTATAGCTGGTACGATTCGAGTGCGGCGACAAGCACACACATACGCACGCATGCATGTACTCACGCACACACACACAAACTCACACACGCACACGCACACACTAACACTAATACACACACACGTACACCTTTGACCTTGTCCTTTGATGCACATAGCCGGGGGCAATGATAGCGATGCTACAGCAGAAGCCAGAGCAACTTGAACTGGGATTAGTGCACTTTTCAACAACTAACTATTCAGCATGGTCTACACCACACAGCTATTTGAAGTGAAGTTTTATGACCAGTGAATACCTCCTTTTTGGTCTTTCTTCCTTTTTTCCCCGCATCCACACCACACCACAAGCTCCAGCATGCTCTGGTTGTTGGTAAACTCTCAGGAGAATGAAGGGAAAGTCAGGAGGAGTCCGAGAAAGAGAAGAAAGACGTGTGTGGCCACGAATCGTCGGGAAACGAACCTGCAACCTCTGGATTGGAAATCGACTGCACATACCACCGCACAATATGGGACACCCACACACATACACACACACACACACACACACACACACACACACACACACACACACACACACACACACACACACACACACACATACACACACGTACGTGTGGCAAGCAACGGCAAAGAAAATGGGACAGAAGCAGGGCGGATGGTTTGCGGATGGGTCGGTGATGAGAGAGTAACACACACCCAACTCGAGCACTTATGCCTCGAAGACAAATTCAGAGCAGTACATAACGACATAAAGTCAAAAATGGAATTCGCTCGGAATTCATAGGCTCAAATTAGCCTAATCACACATATCAGGAGGTCAAGAATGGTGAATAAAAATGAACTATTTTTGGAAAAATGAAAGTAGTATCACCCAGACTAGAATTTTTAAAATAGAAATTCTCTCTTGGGGTTGTTATGGCAACACAGCCCCGTTCCATCTTAGTGCCTCCTCATCCTCCTCCTCAATCTCTTGGTCGCTGTCTCCATGCTGGAGAAAACGTCGGAATGACCGCTGCCAGCTGGCATGTGGCGCGATGGCCGCGAGGAACTTCTTGAACGACTCGGTACCGCCGCGCATGACGATGCTCAGAAGCATGGTGTTGTGTTCGCGGGAACCTCGTACCCGGTCGAGCTCGGACAGGGCAAGCACCGTGTCGCGCCGTAGCAGGTGCACGCGTTCGGCCGCGCTCCGCAGCCACTCTGAGGCCAGGCCTAGGATCCAGTCGCGGTGGCCACCGCAATCCGTGTCGCTGAACGCTGCCTGTTGCCATGGATCTAGGTTATACACAAAAAAAGAGAGCCAGGGATACCACCACGGGCAATAAGCCGTTAAAAATATTGCGGTTTGCGTGAGACTCAGCTGGAGGCCGATTGTTCCGCAACCAAAGTGGCAAAGGGATTTATTTATATTTATTTTTTTATTCCACGATGGCGTGATGCCAATAAGGATGATTGATAAGTGCGATAGAACTGGTACTAGCCAGAAACAGCTAGGGATGCAATCACCCTCTATGGATCAAGGAGCAGATGCAGCTGCTAAAGTAAAGGGGTGTGTATGGGGGGGGGGGAGTAGATCAGGCCCACCACCAAAGTGGTCAAAAACCGAAAATCACATACATTCCCAGCATCCCATTGCACATTGCCAAACACGGATTGCAAGGGTAATGCATGTGAGTACGCTGGGATCAGGTTTGCACTGTTCAACACGCCACACGACCATACATAGGCGGCTGTGCGTGTGAGGTGTGTTTATGGTGCAAGTTACGTCATGTTGCGCAATCGGCCCACTGAGGGATGTGCCTTACCGTAATCGAGATGGTCTGGACCAGGCTCCGGGATGCAGAATTCCTTGAGAATATTTGCGACTACCTCGCCGTCGCCATCATAAGACAAGATATGGACGTTCGCCGCGATGCTCCCGGGAGTTGGATCTGCGGCTGCCGTCTCGACCTCGGCAGTGGAGGCTGCGGTGGCTGCATCGTCAGATGACGGGTGCGTCACGGCAACATTGAGACACATCGAGGCAACCTTTAAAAGCCCGTCAGGGTCGAGCCGGCACTCCAGTTCCGTATCACGCTGTGATGCGTCCAAAGCCACACCGCATCCCTGCGGCAGCTGAACGCGCATCTTGGCTACCATTCCGCCGTTAAGCAACAAGCTGTCCCCCTCGCCAAGCGACTGCATGCCCTCAAACTCGAGAAAGCGAAGGCGATCGCGAGGCCCGAACACCAGGTACAGCTCTCCCGTCGTCGGCTCACCACCCTCGCTGGTCCAACGGAAGAACACATACAGCATTGGCCGGTGCAGCATCCTACCGGCCAGGAGAGGTCGCAGGGCGGCGGCGCATGGCAGTTCCACATCATTAGGCATTGCCACGACAACTGGACACCAAGACAACAGATCAAATATTGAAAGAACGCTATGATTGTAATAGGGAAAAATGTAGGCACAATTTGTGCGATCAAGTCCACCAACTAAACCAGGTTTTGAATAGTCAGACAAGCCCAGTCTAGCACAAGACCGACAAGGCGTGCTGTGACATTCTCGTTTAGTTGATGGACTCAATCGCATAACTTGTGCATACTTATTTTCATGGTACAATTTTTTACTGTGTTTTGAATAAGCCCATTGCGCATTGCCAACATTAATATGGATTGTATGAGTAATGAATGTGAGTGCGCTAGAAACCGGAATGCATTGTTCAACAAAATTGGATCTCTCCTTGCTGGCTGCTTGGCTGTCCTTCTTTCTTCTCTTTTTCTCTATTCCTTTCTTTTCTTTGCTTGTCGTGGTTGGCTATCACCCCTCTCTCACACGTTGCGTGCCAATTGGTTTTGGACCACGAGTTGAGTGAAATAAAAATAAAATTAAATAAATAAACACCCTGCATGACCATGCCCAAATGGCTCTGCTGTGTGAGGTGTTTATGGCACATAATACGTCATATTACGCAATGGGCTTACACCAGCCTGATTGACAAGATGAGCACTGTTGTTGGCATACAGAGCCTGGCGTTTTAGTGTTGCCATACATAGAAATACCTGGTGTAACTACAAGCCTGATTAGATTCGGCGTCTAGTACCGGCATCAGCCTTTACAGGAATATTGCCGGCTGAAATACGCTACATTACGATATGAAAAGGCATGCACAGAACGTAGTACATGGTGACGGCAGAGGTCAGAATTTCACATCCGATTCTCTTCGTTGGCAATACGCCATTGCCACAAATCGGAACCTGCCATGGCTACGTCACTCAGAGGAATATGCAGTCAGACCTCTCTTATCCGGTCCTCTTTTATCCGGCTCCCTCGCCATCCGGAAGAAAATAGCTGGTTACAGATGTACAGCATATGTGATGCATGCATCAAAACCGGTGTTCGGTTATCCGGTTCCCCCGCCTATCCGGATACTTTTGTGGAAAGCAGATGTGTGTGCGGTTTAGCGAAGTCTGACTGTATTCATGAATTCCATATTAAGATGCTTAGGGGGCATCTACATGACAGTCAACCGTGCCGTCGGTGGGCATGCCACTGGGTGTGAGAGCTTGTCAGAATGTCGCAAGCTGAGAAATACATTCACACAGAGCAGTTCTGTGTCTCCAGTACCGCACGCGCACGCGTACAAAGATTGGTGCACAGCGGCTTGTAGCATGCTGAAGTACACACGGAATGCCATGGTAACGTGTCCCCCATCCATTCCTTATGGCACGCAAGCTCCACTGAAGCCAGTTCTTACAGCAGAAAATCCCAGAGCTTCAAGTGGTCTCTTTGCCGCGAATTCAACATCTCAACCAAATGATCTACCTGCATCCATCACAAGTCCAATGTGTACCTACCAAAATCAGCCAAGCGTGAGATTCTGCAGGTGATGTGTTCCCTGTATGTGCACATGCTTGTTATGTCAGTCAGCCGCGCTTGAACTAGTCCTTTCTGCTCAGCATCAGAACTTTCCATGCTGTGATCCATCTCCAGGACATGTAGCTGTCAGCAGCAAGCACATGAACACTCACACACATACACACACACACATGTCGCATGCACATGCACACACACACGCATGTCGCATGCACACACACACGCATGTCGCATGCACATACACACACATGCATGTCGCATGCACATGCACACACACACATGCACACACGCATGCACACACACACGCACACACACCGTGCAGGCACACGTATGCACACACGCACACACACGCACACACACACACACACCGTGCAGGCACACGTATGCACACACACGCACACACACACACACACACACGCACCTGCCTGTACTTGTTCTTGCTCACTTTCATGACTGGTCATGCGAGTCTCCCCGAATAGGGGAGAAAGATTCTTTTGGAAAGATGACTCAATTGGTTATTGAACCGCCCAAAGGCCGACAGCCCACGAAATCCCCAAACTTTGGATGAACTTGCAAATGATCCCACTTATGGGCTCCCCACACCTCACTGGTAAGTGAGCGAGGGCAAGGGTGCAGGAAAGGGATTGATGGTATCAGGGTATCTGTCCCGGTCTCAAGGCATTACACATGCGTACTACGCCCCCTATGTTACTTCTTCAGTAAAACTGGTTTAAGCGACCACCCCACTGTGTACTCTCAGCACTCAAGACTCTCAAAGCACATACTTGTAGGAATACGTAAGTTATCATCAGTGTTCATCGTCTCACATGGAGAAGAAGAAGACCAAGGCAGTGCGAGTATGCGTACAGCTATCCATGCATTCCGGCTATGGTGTAGATCTACTATTTATGTGTATAGAATTTACGTATTATGAAGTGACCATACTACACTATGCACTGACTTTGTTCAAATCAGGCTTGAAACTAGCTTGTCTTCGCGAACGTTCGCACTACAGGAGTTAATAGTAAAGGAATAATTTTGATTTGAGATGGTGCCTGGCCAACCATAGAGAGAGAGAGAGAGAGAGAGAGAGAGAGAGAGAGAGAGAGAGAGAGAGAGAGAGAGAGAGAGAGAGAGAGAGAGAGAGAGAGAGACCTGGCCAACCATAGGATTGGCCCTAGTTCATACTAATGGAAAGTTCGCCTTATCACTGTTCGTCCTAGGAAGGTAGACTGCATGATAGTCTAATTCAAATAGATCGATTTAGAAAGTATACAAAGCCCGAAGCCCACAAAGGTGACAGGTACACATTACAACGTCAGGTAGCTGAGCCCGTTGGCAAAAGACCCAACACTATCTGGCATGAGTGTACGCACCTACCGAACTAGCTGGCACATACACCTTTTGACCTTTTGGCGCCCATCGCCGGAGGCTATAACAGCGATGCTATAGCAGAAGCCATAGCAACTTGTGCTGGTGTTGCACCAATCAACAGCTTGCAAGGCTGAAGAATTGACCGCCACTATTCAGCCTGGTCTACCCCACACAGCTATTTGAAGTGGCCTTTTCTGGCAAGTGAATCCCTACTTTTTCTATTTTTCCCACACACACATCACATCACATACTCCGGCATGCAATAGTTGTTCGTAACAACCCAGGAGATTGAAGGAAAAATCAGAAGTCTAAGACAGAGAGGAATGGCGTATGTGACCAGAATCGTTGAGAATCGAACCCGCAACCTCTCGATCGGAAATCGGCTGCACATACCACTACACCATATGGGACACACACACGAAATGCCTTTGAATCTCACTCTCTCTATCTCTCTCTTTCTCTCTCTCTCTCTCTCTCTCTCTCTCTCTCTCTCTCTCTCTCTCTCTCTCTCTCTCTCTCTCTCTCTCTCTCTCTCTCTCTCTCTCTCTCTCTCTCTCTCTCTCTCTCTCTCTCTCTCTCACTCTCTCTCTCTCTCTCTCTCTCTCTCTCTCTCTCTCTCTCTCTCTCTCTCTCTCTCTCTCTCTCTTTCTCGAGCAAACAGGTGGCAGGTCGTTTCTTTTTCCGTTGAGGTAGGTGTGTGTGGTTTCATCCCGGACTCTCTTCGGAGGGCTCTGAAAGCGCTTGGGTTTTCTAATCGAAGAATATAATTTATTTGTAATTTGTGCAGTAAGACGTCTCTGCGAAGCAGCTACATCATCTGGTTGCGACTTCAACAAAAACACTGGGCGAAAGATCCACTTTTTTGAGGTACTGTATGTGGGACTCCGTTTATAGAGGTGTGTTGAAATCATTTTATTCTCCTTATCTTATTATTTCATGTCTATCATTTCCACACATGAGTTCCTATCAGTTGCTGTGAACACCTTGAGTGGAGAGCGCTTGCTCGAGCGTTGAACCGGGTTCTTAATCCACCATTCCCAGTTCGCAAGGCTGGGCGGGGTTGTGAGCAGGCTTTCATTTCATCTTTTCTTATTTTTAATTTTCTTGTTTCTGCTTTTCATGTCATTACAAAAATTCCGCACATTTTTCTCCATCTGCGCATAAAAATTAATCTAGACTGCTAACCTACTTGTTAAATCATGCACCTGCTTTCAGGCGTAAAAACCCTGTTGTAGACGTCTCAGTCCTCATTTTTAGACTTACCTGTCTTTATAAATTTAACTTGCCCTCCCTTGTCATCCATTCTACCTCACCTCCTCTTATCTCCTATCGCACTAAATCACCCACTTGCAAAAATTCACGTCACGAAAAAGCACTGGCACACACACACACATACACACACATGCACACACATGCATATACCGGTAATCATGGGCACTTTCGTTTCTTACCGTATGATTTGTCGGCGATGAATACAGGTAGATTATCAACTCGGCCTCTTTCTCAAGTTTCAGTCCGTGCGGTCGACAGCACACAACCTGCACATACCATATAAGGGATGTACAGAACTGGGTTAAAGGCATCACATAGTGAGCATGACCATCACCATTGTCCACAAGTACTCGAATGGTGAGCCAAGGAAATTTTGAAATGAAAACCGGAAAAAACAGGGGGGGGGGGCAAAAGTTATGCATTTTAGTCCACTGACTGACGCAGATTTTGAACAGTCAGACGGGCGCAAGGCAGCACCAGACTTGACAAGGAATACGGAGACATTCCACGGCAAGAAAGTGAGCTTGAGCACTGCTCGATAGAGGTGACCTTCCTATTCGGAGGGCTCATGGATATTATTGTGGGAGAATTCCAAAGACGTAAGCGCCATCAAGCCGACCACAAGCTACATTCCAAGGCATGGTGGAATGCTGGCTTGGCAGGATAACTGGACGGTAACACCATTGGACAATACGGTCTAACTGCAATTGGAAAACGCAAAGCAACAACCATCCAACTCGGGAGGCTCAATTTTATAAAGGATAAGAAATGAGAGGGAAATGTCGCAATGTACTACTAGAAACCATAATAATAATAATAATAATAATAATTTTTGAACGGATTGGGAGAACTTCAAATACAAAGGATCAGTTGGGGAAGTGAACTGCCTGAAAAGAGAAAAAACCGCCAGACCCACCAGGACTCGATAATAATAATAATAATAATAATAATAATAATAATAATAATAATTTGGAAAGGATTGGGAGAACTTCATATTCAAAGGATCAGTCGGGGAAGTGAACTGCCTGAAAAGAGAAAAAAACGCCAGACCCACCAGGACTCGAACCTGGGACCCTGCTTGTCATGAGCAATGCTCTAACCACTGAGCTATGGGACCAGGCTGAACCTAGAAGGCGCTGGCAAGTTTTTCACTCCAAAGGCAGCTCACAACACGTGCCACACATACTGATGGCACTTGAGTCTTTTTCCCTCCCCCAGGGGACCAACCACGGTCAGTTTCTGGAAACTACCAGAGGTGAAAGAAAGTGATTAAATTTCATCAGTATGTGTGGCACGTGTTGTGAGCTGCCTTTGGAGTGAAAAACTTGCCAGCGCCTTCTAGGTTCAGCCTGGTCCCATAGCTCAGTGGTTAGAGCATTGCTCATGACAAGCAGGGTCCCAGGTTCGAGTCCTGGTGGGTCTGGCGTTTTTTTCTCTTTTCAGGCAGTTCACTTCCCCGACTGATCCTTTGAATAATAATAATAATAATAATAATAATAATACAAAAATGTATTATCTACGCATGCATCTACGCAAGAGTCACCACCAGCCAATTAGGACATGTGTCACAGTATTGAACGTTTTCGTTCCCTTCTTGTCAAAATACTACAGGGAATGATGGAAATAGGCTAAAAGACTACAACTATAAGGAAAAGAAGTTCAGAAATATATCACTCCAATTATGTGTAGAAGTGACACGAAAAAATAGATGTGAAGAATCAAGAAAACAGCATGCAAATCCAATAAGTGACAAAAACGTAGTGACAAGAAAAAGAGAGAAATATCAAGAGATCTATTTCGCACCTTCACGACGAACAGTGCCAAACAACTGCAAAGACAACACATTCTCCTTCTGAACACAAAGCTCAGGGTCTAACTTACGTATGTACAAAGCTTCCAACACGGCAAGATGTAACAAAGACCTACCACGCGACAAAACAGAGAATACATCATCGGAATACCACTCACGACAACTAGCACTGCCCGACAGGTGACACTTGATTGCCGAGGTACCGTTTCCCTGACCCGACGACTTGGCCGTTGTCACCTCCGATATTGCCGCTTGCGAATCTCTCCCATTACGCCCTGCGTCCCTGCAATTCCGATTGCCTCGGTCGAGATCAGTGTGCTGCTCCACGTCCAGTCTGTCCTGCTGCTTCCGTGGTCTACCTCGTTTCTTCACATTAACCGTTGTTGTCACTTCCAGTATTGGTTCTTTTGATTCGTCATCAATTCGTCTCCTCAATTGACTTCTGGTGACTCGTCCGGGGCTCGATTGTCCAGATGTCAGTTTCGGTGGTTTCCGTATAGGTCTCTTCTTCTTGTTGACTGTTGTTTGGGTTGGCTCCAGCCCTCCGCCCGACGAAAAGGAGGAGGCGTCGGCAAGCGTATCCACAGCGGACTTGGACAAGTCCACCTCAGACACAGACTGCACTGGACACTTCGGTGGACGACCACGCCGAGGTCGAGAACCACGTGCAGCTACAGGGACAAGATTCAACGGTACATGTTGACGAATCCGTGCGCCCAGGTGCTGAAAGGTTCTACCTACGTACCGATTTTCACAATTTCGGCACTGAAAGAAATAGATTAGATTACTTTTGCTTAGGGTAGGTAGAACGTCCTTCTTCACGCTGAACGCACGGGTCGTCCCAAAGATGACATACAATTTGACACACGGATAAGAGGAACACACAATATTCCGCACCTCCTTCTCGACGCGCGAAGAACCGGCACCAACCCATGGCAAACGTAGTACCACAGGGCATCTCTCTGGTCCAAAAGTAATCGTCTTTTCCAAGGTCGGTTTCTGGTTGATGAGATTCATTAAAAGTGTCTTTGGGTAGCCATTCTTTGTCATTATGGTTAAGAGTCGTTCTAGTTCCTCGTCCAGCAGATGAGGGGAACATATCCAATGTGCACGGTAGACAAGGGCCTTGACGAGGTGCGTTTTGGACTTAGTTGGAGTAAAACTTGACCATGGGATATACAAGCCTGTGAAAGTGGGCTTTCTATAAATGGTTGTGTCTATGTTGTGCGTATCCATGTTACGAGAAATACCAACATCCAGGAAAGAAAGGGTACCATTGTTTTCACCATCTGATGTGAATTTTAATGCTGGATGTAAGGAGTTGAGAGTTTCCATAAACCTATCACAGGTTTCCTTGTCGTCGTCGTGACAATACACATCATCAACAAAACGACAGTACATTGATGGCCAAAGTGAAGGGTCAATAGACGACTCGCAGAAGCCAACAAATATGTTCTCCAAAACTGGTCCCAAAGGCGATCCCATGGCGACTCCATCATTCTGTTTGTACATTATATTGTCGAATGAAAACTCCACACCAGACGTGACCATGAACATAAGTTTCACGAACTCTGTTTCATTCAAATCTGGGGGAGTGATAGATCTGTTATGGTATAACGCCATGGCGCAAATGTCTATTGTTTCTCGTAAAGGAACGTTGGTAAACAAGCTCACTACGTCATAGGAGCACATGTAACCATGTGACGGGAATGGTCTTAGAGACTGCTTCCCCATTCCCGTTGGCCTTCCAATCACATAATGACTTACACTCTTTCTGCAGGCTCTGTATGGTGATCCCCGAATTACTTATTATTATTCATGCATAATGGACAACTATTAATTTTCTCTACACACATCCTTATTCTACCTCCCACACCGTACTCTGAACACAGCAGGGAGTCGAATATGACTCCCTGCATTTATTCTGAAATATGAAGCTGGCCACGACGAGGGTTTCCCCTCAGTTCTTGGTTAGTCCAGAAGGAGTGAGTTCGATGTGTTGTGTCGACTGGAGCTGCTAGTAAATTAGTATGCTTACTGTTACATGGTGTCAGAACTCGTCTTGAGCATTGTTTGTCAGGCTCTTGAGACTCCACGCCAGTGCTGTTTGTCAGCAGGGTTGAGAACTCGGGATTTCCGTTCGTCGGAGAATAGTTGTAGTGGTTCCGTTCGTCGGATAATAGTTTGAGTGTTTCCGTTCGTCGTAGGAAAGTTTTAGTGTTTCCGTTCACGGCGTCGGAGGATAGTTTTTGTGTTTCCGTTCGTCGGAGGATAGTTTTTGTGTTCCGTTCGTCGGAGGATAGTTGTTGTGTTTCCGTTCGTCGGAAGACAGTTTTAGTGTTTCCGTTTGTCGGAGGATAGTTTTAGTGTTTCCGTTCGTCGGAAGGTATTTTTACTTTGATAATTCCGTTTGTCGGAAAGTTTTTTTTTGTTTTGTTTGTTAGTCAGCATGGACGTAGCTTTTGCTCGACAGGAGCAGCTTCGGGGAGTTCGCTGTGACGGCCATCTGTCCGTGGCAGGGACACGCACTGATCTCGCCCAACACCTATCCAGGCTATTGGCACATCGCGTCGATGTTGTCTTTGAAGACGTTGCTGAATATGACGCGGAGGCGGAAGACTGTGGAGATCCGACGCCGAGTGGCGACGCTGTTCTCGGGTCCGTGCGTGGCAGAACCGGTCCCACACAGCCCATATCGGCGTCCAGGTCGTGCATCCCTGGTCGTTCCCTGAGCGAGTCTGCAGCCCTATCGAGCCCGCCGGTACTGGATGCGTACACAGACAGCCAAATGCAGCCCAGCCACACTCCCAAGGCCATGTGGCAAGGGCTCTTTACAGTCCCCTGGCCCTGCAACCTAGACAGCGTCCATTACGAATTTGACCTGGGTCCTCGTCGCGACTTCGCACCTTTCACGTGAACTAATAATATTTATGTGCAACTCTGACTTGCCACTTTCACCGTGTTCGTTCAGTTCTCAAGACACTGAAGACTCCTGTACTGGCCCACTGTTGCAGGTGGCTATGTCTTAGTCGTCGCAATCTGGCTGCTTGCGACTTGTGAAGGGGGAAGGTGTGACGGGAATGGTCTTAGAGACTGCTTCCCCATTCCCGTTGGCCTTCCAATCACATAATGACTTACACTCTTTCTGCAGGCTCTGTATGGTGATCCCCGAATTACTTATTATTATTCATGCATAATGGACAACTATTTCTCTACACACATCCTTATTCTACCTCCCACACCGTACTCTGAACACAGCAGGGAGTCGAATATGACTCCCTGCATTTATTCTGAAATATGAAGCTGGCCACGACGAGGGTTTCCCCTCAGTTCTTGGTTAGTCCAGAAGGAGTGAGTTCGATGTGTTGTGTCGACTGGAGCTGCTAGTAAATTAGTATGCTTACTGTTACAAACCATTTGATTCAAATTTCGAATCTCTAAGTTTTTCCACAAACTCAAACGTGTCTTTAACGGAATGTGTGTTGTACAAGGCAAGAACCGGTTCCAGCAAGTTGCATAACCACTTCGAAACCTTGTATTGCGGAGATCCAGACATGCTTAAGATCGGGCGTAATGGAATATGTTTTTTTATGAATTTTTGGGAGCCCATACATCCTAGGTCTTGTCGAGCCTGTGGGAGCTAGATGATCATACTCATATTTGGTGATCTGATGCGTTCTAGAAAGAAAAGCAGGTACTTACTCAGCTTGGTATCAATGTTTTCGGTATGGTCATACACATCGCAAGGCCCAAGTCTGCTGAATTTACTAATGTCATTGAGTATGACCAACATTTTCTCCCGGTAATTATCCGCAGACAAGATGACTGTTGCACGGCCTTTGTCCGGTCGAGAGATAACGATTTCTGGATTCTTTCGAAGCTCGTTGATCACTTTCATGTGTTCCCGTGATAGCGTGAATGATCGAGTGTCCGGAGGCGATTGTGCGAACCGAATGGCTTCAGCGGCCAGTGAAGCCCGACAAGATCCCGCTGCCATATCCGACTTTGCCGGGATGCTAGATAGCTGTTGCTGAAGTAGTTCGAACTCGGCCAGGATATCAGTTTTCCTAAACCTCGGGGGAATACCGAAGTCCATTCCACCGCACAAAACATCCTTTTGAAGCTGGGTTAAGGTAATATCAGAGAGATTGATGATTGCTTCATAATTGTCACTGCAGGTTCCAAACCGGTCCTTCCTCAAAGCTAAAATAATGCCTGTGTGTTTCTTTTCAAGTCTAGAACGCTGCCTACAATCACATTCGGATAATAGCCAAGAGAACCTAATGAAGTCGAATGTATTGAGATGTGTTCGGCTTCTTTGGTAGGAAGACACAAACTTGGATCGTATGCTTTGAAGGTGGGCCTTGGCCTTGTTATGGTCATCTTGTAGCAAGACCTTTTCAATAGAGATGGAATCATAGAGTTTTAATTTGTGAACTCGCTGTTGGAGATACCTAGGCGCGATAGAGTAATGAAGGCAGTCACGAAGCAGTCGCACATGGTAGATGGCTGTGTTAAGGCGTCCCCGGAGAGAAAGGACGTCATTCAGAAGACCGATATGTTCGGTTTGGAGACGTCACTTGAAGTA